TCTTTTTTAACGTGTCTTTAACTGGTTTTGAAGTGTGTGATGGTGCATCATCATGAAGCAGAATTACTTTGCTGTGTCTTCTGGCACATTCTGGTTGTTTCATGATCAAAGCGTGGTTCAAATTCATTATTTGTTGTTGGTAGCGATCAGTATTAACGGTTTCACCTGGTTTTAGAAGCGCATAATACACCACACCTTCCTGATCCCACCAAACGCAGAGCATTGTCTTCTTTCCGAAGTGATTTGGCCTTGCAGTCTATGTTGATGGTTGACCTGGATCAACCCATGATTTTGTGCATTTGGGATTCTCAAATCCACTTTTCATCGCCAGTCACAATTTGATACAAAGAAGACTTTCTTTCGTGCCATTGAAGCAACATTTTACTGATGACTTTTTGGTTTTCCATTTGTCTTTTGTTCAGTTGATATGGCACCCATTTTCCTTCCTTTGAAATCTTTCCCATTGCTTGTAAACAATCGGAAATTGTTTGCTGAGCAACATTTAATCTTTCTGCAAGTTGTTTTTAAGTTTGACACACATCTTCATCCAATAATGCTTGTAATTGTTGGTCTTTAAACTTTTTCGGTTGTCCTGGATGTTCTTTATTTTTCACATTGAAATCATCACTTTTATAAAGCATTTAAACCAGTGTTCACAAGTATCTTGAGATTAGAGGCCCAGTGCACGAGATTTGTGCACTGAGGGGGGGGCACCCTCTCCAATCTTAGGACCCCTTGGGGGATGTCCCACAGGAATCAGGCCTAAACCGGCAGTCGGACATCCCTCTCACAATCTGAGGCTGCTGGCTCCCAACTGCTCGCCTGTCTGATCACCCCCTAACCACTTCCCTGTCAGCGTTATCGACGCCTGCTTCTCTGCCGGCCCGATTGCCCCCAACTGCCCTCTCCTGCTGGCCTGGTTGCCCCTAACTGTCCTCCCCTACTGGCCTGATCACCTACGTCTGCCCTCCCCTGCTGGCCATCTTGTGGCTGTGGGCACTGCCATCTTTGAGGGCGTGGCAGTCAGTTAGCATATTCCCTCCTTATTGGCTGTGGGCGCTGCCATCTTTGGGTTTGGGGCAGTCAGTTAGCATATTCCCTCCTTATTGGCTGCAGGGCCTGCCATCTTTGTGATGGCGTAAGGGTCTATTAGCATATTTTCTCATTATTAGATAGGATGGAGCATGTTCACCATAAGCTTGCTGAAGTATTCAGCAGCACTTTTCTTTGAAATAAAGTAATGAATTAAAACTTCCTGCAATTGCTCTTTTTTTGGCATGAATTTCAACATTTTTAAGTGTAAAAATATCTATGATGTTAACACCTTCAGAAAATTTGACATAAGAAGTTTTGAAGCTTGTTGTCAATACAACAAAATAGCTTACATATTAAATCGCATGTATATCAACATATGTGTAACTCCATCTATTGAAAAAAATCCGCATTTTTAACTGGTACACCTTATACTTTAGTTTGATGAGTACTTGAATAGATATTAACACAAGATATGGCATGAACCAGATTATAGACTCCATGAGGGCAGGTACTATATCTTGTTAACAGCTGTGTCCCCAGCATAATGCCTGGCACATAACAGGAATTCACTGCTAAATATAAAATGGTTGGGAGGGTGGCTAGTGGTGGTAAGCACCTTCTTAAAGAAATGATTTATCAAATAATTCTTGTATACCTATCATGGGGTGTGGATACAGCAAGGGACAAGGTACAGGTTAAGCAGCAAGTCCTGCAGAGCTCATGGGGAGGAGGAGATCATTGGTTAAACCTTTATGTTTAGGTCCTTTCATAATAACTAGGTGGAGAAGTAGGGATGGTTATGTTCATGAGGTTCAGGGATAATTTATCTTATACATTTTTACCTCTATTATGTAGTGATGATATCTTCTGAATCTTGGGGTCCAGTAGCCCTTAGAATTTTTTTTGTTGTTTTGCTTTGTTGATTTTGAATTTTTCATCTTAAAAATTAGAAGGATAAGCAATTGAATTTTCTAAAGTTAAACTCAAGAGAACTCATTTATCCAGTGAAATTAGTTTGAATAGCTGGGTTACTATAAGAATTAATACAGTTTAAAGTTGAGGGGATACTGAATGAATACTGCCTCATGGTGAAATGCATTTAAGTGCTCACTTAGAGAACTAATTGATTCTGTGTGCATATTAGTTGAAATTATTACAAGGGATTTTAACTGGAGTGGATTTTTCTGCTATGGGAGGAAGACTTATCAAATGAAAACCAGCTAAAAGGCTAGGAAACTAGTAACAATACAGAACTTTTCATTTTTGAGTAACTGATTTGTCTCGTGGAGATTGGTAGTGAACCATCTAATTATTGTGCAGTTGCTTATGGGAAATAAATTAATCATAGTTGAGTTTCTAAAAAAAAGCCACTTCCTTAAATTACAAACATAATTAATGCCTTTATTAGTAGCACCAGTAAATTGAATGCATCTGACATTGGTGAAGGAGGATGTTACCTTTAAGGCTACTATATTTAAAATTGCTATTGTTATTTTTACAGGGAGAAGGACAGAATTCCATCCCCATTAAAAATAAGTTCATATCACGAACTTTGTGGGATACTGTTCTTTATCCTGCGGTACTAGTATTGTCATTCAGTTTTCTTTCTGAGAAAAAATTAGGTGTAATTTTATCTTATTAGGTGTTTGTTAGGTATATTATATAATCTTTATCTAGAAATTTTTAAAATAATGGTACACATAAGTATCTTATAAGTACATTTAGATATCATGTTGCCCTAACCAGTTTGACTCAGTGGGTAGAGCATCGGCCTGAGGCCTGAAGGGTCCCAGGTTTGATTCCGGTCAGGGACACATGTCCAAGTTGTGGGCTCAATCCAGTATGGGGCATGCAGGAGGCAGCCGATCAATGATTCTCTCTCATCATTGATGTTTCTGTCTCTCTCTCCCTAACCCTTTCTCTCTGAAATCAATAAAAATTTATTTTTTAAAAATAGACTCATGTTATCTAAAAGTGGGAGGATAGATTGAGTGACCTTAAGTCTTTCAACAAAAAATTCCTGACTTGCCCTAACTGGTTTGGCTCAGTGGATAGAGCGTCGGCCTGTGGACTGAAGGGTCCCGGGTTTGATTCCGGTCAAGGGCATGTACCTTGGTTGCAGGCACATCCCCAGTAGGGAGTGTGCAGGAGGCAGCTGATCGATGTTTCTCTCTCATCGATGTTTCTAACTCTCTATCCCTCTCCCCTCCTCTCTGTAAAAAATCAATAAAATATATATATTTTTAAAAATTCCTGACTTAATTACACCTAAATACATTTGGTCCCTATCTGTCAGTGCAGATATAGAGGGAAAAGAAGTATAAATAATGCATAACTGAATGAATAAGTAGTATTTCCAGTAATAATATTTATTCTTCTGTACTAGAGAAATGATCTTACAGAGATAATTTGCCTTACAGATATATATTTTATGTTTGGAGACTAACTCACCCAAAGGAATTAATCTATTGTTTCCAAATTATTTTGAGACATTAAATTTCAGCTTTGGATTAGTATCTTGTTTCTTTTGTGTGTGTCTTTTTTTTATGTACAAATGATCCAGAATTAATTGGAAGAAGTTATTAGTCAGAATATTCTGTTGTGGTATTAAGTTAATCCTGAAATCTTAGATTTAGATTTGTCACTCACTTGGAAATCTCTTCAGTTTGGCTTCTTGTCCTTTTGACATTACTCCAGTAGTTTTAGATAACAATCTTGCTTTCTTGTATAACAAGATGTTTCAGGTTCATCTTGTACAATTCCTGTCCCAGACTTCAATCGAATCAGCTATTCAAGGAGGTCCTGGTTCCTTTTAATGGAAAATCGCCTGTAGAGAGCACATTCTGGTGTTGGGTTAAATGCCATAATTTCCAAGTTGGTCATTGTTTCTAGTAGTTTTTTATCTTTTAATATATCACTAGTACTTTTTTTAAAAATCCTCATCTGAGGGTATGTTTTTATTGATTTTAGAGAGAGAGAGGAAGGGAGAAAGAGGGAAACATTGATGTAAGAGAGAAACATCGATTGGTTGCCTCCTATACACACCCTGGCCAGGAATCAAAACTGCAACCTTTTGGTGTATGGGATAATGTGCCAACCTACCGAGCCACCTATTCTAGGACAATAGTGCTTATTTTTAAAATTTTGGACTAGATCATACAAACAAAAGATTATAGATACTCAGTTTAAAGAAGAAGAATAAAAACAAGTACCCATTGCCAAGCTGAAGAACTAGAACAAAACCAGTACCTTTGAATCTCCCTCCCGTAATAAGAACCCCTCCCAGCACCCTGGAGGTAACCACCATCCTAAATTTTCTGTTAATTTTTGTTTATAGTTTTTTACTCGCTTGCAGTGAATGAGAGTTTCCATTCCCATCACCTGCAGTGCTCCATATGGAAAGCTTTTTAATCATGCTAGTGAAACATATCTTATGGTCTTATTGACCATTTTCTTGATTCTAATAAAGTTGAGCATACTTGCCTGTTTATCTATTTGTGTTACTACTTTTGTTAAGTGCTTATTTCGTCTTCTGTACATTCTTCTGTTCGTTTTATGTTTTGTTCCTTATAAATCAGAGCAGTTATTCATGCATTCTGGATACTAATCTTTTTTTGCTTGTATGTGTTACAAAATACTCTCAGTTTGTGGCTTGTTTTTCCACCATCTTTATGTGTCCTTTGAAGAAAATTTAATAATTTTAAAATAGTTAAATTTGTCACTTTTTTCTTTATGGTTTGTGCCTTTTATATCATATTTAAGAAATTTTTCCACACTGTAAGGTTGCATGTATGTTCTGATTTTTTTTCCCCAAAAAAAGTTTTAAAGTTTACTTTTCATTTTGAAGTCTATGCTTTATCTGAAGTTTTATTTTTATACATGGTATAAGTAATTATAAATGTTATGTATTAAGTGTATTTTATGTACTAAATTGTTATTATGCTCTTATTCCATTTAAAATCAAGCTTGCAAGCAGAAGCCTCAGGCAACAGATAAAACCATCAGTGACTATAAAATTACACCTTAATCAGAATGGAGATCGCAACACCAAAGTTCTGCAGACAGATCCAGCTACCCTGATGCACTTGGTTCAGCAACTGGAACAAGCATTGGAGGAAATGAAAACAAACCACTGTAGGAGAGTTGTGCGCAGTATCAAGTAGTCCTGGTTTTAAGTTTTATTTCCTTTTAATTGCTTGTGAATTAATGATGTGCAGCAATTACTTTTAAAAACTATTTTTTTAGTTAATTGATAGTGATAACTACATATAGATTCTATGAAAGTTTTTTTTTCCTATGACAAGATCTGAAGTCATGTTCAAAAGCTGACATAAGTTTCTTTCCTGGTGCTAAATGTGGTCAGCTTCTTGACAAATTAGGATGTATTTTCTATTTTAAATATGTAAATAGGATTGAATCAGCTGAAAGTGAATTTATACTGTTCATATTATCTGTATATATGAATGATTATACTTGTCTTAGTACTTCTTTTGACTACTTAACTTTATTATTTTCTTCCTTATTGACCAAAATTTGAAAATAAAATTCGCAGTATTACTATTACTATACTGTTACTATTCAGAATGTTTCTAGACAGTTCAGTGTTTTTGAACTTTAAAAGCAACTCATGGATGTTAATAGCCACAGAATAGTTGGAAATAAATATGAATTTTTTTAAATGCTCTATAGCTTAGGCAGTTCATGCATTTTTCTTTGCATATTGCTTAAGTTTGAATTGTCATGGCTAATTAGCTTAAGTATTTAGTAATCAAATTTGTGCAATCATATATATTACATTTTATCAAGGACTACTTTTTGCCCGAGTACCCAAAGTGTCTAAGATACATGTTGTCATTTACATTTATAAACAATGCTTGCAGGAGTAATATAATTGATTTTTAATTATCTGGCTAAAAATTACAGTCACTTTTTATATTTTTGTTTAAATAAAATATAAAGAAGGCAAAGGAAGACCATGTTTACTACATTCCAGGCTTTCTTCCTTACAAACTTGATTTTTGTTTTGTTTTCTTTTTTAGTAGGTATCCATAAGTTGTGTGGCCTGTAAAACTGATGCCGGTGTGTCAGGTCAACTTGATAGAGTACAGGGATACAGGGAGACTTAAGGGAAAAAAGAGACTTACAGAGAAATATCACATGGACATGGGATTCAGTCTTAAATATACTAGGGCCTTATTCTGAAAGTCTTATCCCCGTGGAACAACCCAGAAAGGCCTAAGAACCATGAGACTCTAAGCTGCACTCTAGGTTCTGTCAACACTTTGCTGCCTGAGAATGAGAGATTTTTAGGTCAGAGTGACATCATGTTTCTTTCTCTCATGAGAGAGCCTATCAGGAAACAGACCATTGAAAGAAAAGCACAGTTGAAATTGCCACCCATCAGCCCTTGCAGGCATGTGGGTTAGCCCTTTCCCAGAGGTATATTTCTGAAGTTATGAAATAGATTAGATACTAGCAAACCATAATCAAATAATTTTAAATTATAATGATAACGTGATTAATGAAGATTTCATATTAACAACCTCACAAATGGAAACTACATGAAATAGTAACATATGTCATTGGGTTTTAGAGCAAAATGTCTGCCAAGCTTAGATGATATAAATAGCTCTATGATTAAAAAGAAGAAGCTCTGAGGCGGCTTCTTTGTCCATATTTGGTGGAAGATAAGCAGGACTGACCCCAGCCAAGATTGAAAAAACAGCCCTGTGTCCCCTCAGGACAACTTTTCTTCCACCTCATATCCACTGTTCTTAACTCCAATCAAAACAAGAAAGCATGTGTTACTCTCTTTCATTTGTATCAAACTTTCCTGGCCTCCTCTCTCTATTTTCCGTTATTCTTTCTGATGTTCTGCCTTCTTTACCTTTGGGGGCCAGAGTGAGTTGGGAGCAGTCTCCTAACATCTTTTTGAACCTGGGCTCACCTTTTAGTACAGGCCATCTAGTGAGCCTCTTTTTCTTATTTAAACACTCCATACCCTATGGGCAACTCTGCCTTGTTGGTTTTATGGCATTTGATTTTGGGGTGTGTTTTTTTTGGTAGCTTATATATGAACATACTAGTGGCCTGGTGCACAAAATTCATGCACAGGTTGGTGGAGGCGTCCCTCAGCCCGGCCTGCACCCTCTCCAATCTGTGGGATCGGGCCTAAACTTGCAGTCAGACATCCTTCTTGCAATCTGGGACGGCTGGCTCCTAACTGCTTGCCTGCCTGCTGATCGCCCCTAACCACTCTGCCTGCCGGCCTGATCACCCCCAACTGCCCACCCTTTCCGGCCTGATCACCCTTAACTGCCCCACCCCTGCCAGCCTGATCAGCCCCAACTGTCCTTTCCCTGCCGGCCTTCTCTCCCCCAACTGCCCACCCTGCTGGCCTGATTGCCCCCAACTGCCCCCACTGCCGGCCTTCTCGCCCCCACCTTCCCCCCGCCACCCCCCACTGGCCTGCTTACCCCCAACTGCCCCTCCTGCTGACCTAATTGCCCCAAACTGCCCACCCTGCCAGCCTGCTCGCCTCCAACTGCCCCCCCCCCGCCCCACTGGCCTGATCGCCCCCAACTGCCCGCTACCTGCCAGCCAGCTCACCCCCAACTGCCCCCCACCCCCACCGGCCTGATCGCCCTTAACCTGCTTTTGCCTCGGCCCTGCCACCATGGCTTTGTCCGGAAGGTGTCCCGGAAGGTCTCCTGGTCTAATTAGCATATTACCCTTTTATTAGTATAGATTTTCTGCAGATGCAGTCACTGTTCTACTCTCCTCTGTGATCAAGCTTCCCGACTCTGGGTAATGTGCCTTTCTATCTATAACTATCTAAATTCTTATTAAAATACTAGGGTCCCAGTGTACGAATTCTTGCACCTTGAAAGGAACTGTGGGCTGCGAGGCTGTGGTAGGGAACAGGGGTGGGTCTCAGCTCATCATCTGCGCCCCTGCCCAGCCCCTTCCACAGCAGCCCCAGTCCCCTCTCTGCTGGCAGCCCCACTCCCGCCACCACTGCTCCCATGCACTGACGGCACCAGCCCTGCTCTCACCCACTGATGGTGCTGAGCAATTGGGACTGGCACCAGGCTCCAGCAGCGGATGTGAGAGGTGGCTGCCAGCCCCAATCACCCCTCAGGAGCAGGGGGAGGTGCAGAAGCCCTCGGGGGCAATCGGGGCCAGCAGCTGCCGCTCACACCTACTGACGGCACCGAGAGATCTGGACTGGCACTGGGTGCCGGCAGCGGGTATGAGCGGCGACTCCGGTGCTAGCAGTAGGTGTAAGCAGGGCTGGCATCGGCAGCAGGTGCGAGCTCCAGGCAGGTCTGCAGCATGCAGGAGCAAAGAATTTTCAGTAACCACCAGAGGCTCGCCCCAATGACAGCGACTGGCGCCCCACCTTGGTCTGGCCCCTGCTCACCTGCTCCACCATCCCACTGCAGCCTGTGCCCACCATGTTCCGCTCTCTGCTGCCTGCTGCTGACACCCGCCATGTTTCACGTGTGCCCCCTGGTGGTCAGTGCACGTCATAGCGACCGGTTGTTCTGCTGTTTGATCTATTTGCATATTAGGGTTTTTTATATATAGATTTTGGATTATTGTGCTGATTTTTCAGGATTGGCTGGTGATGGTTTAGACTTGTGTCATATCCTTCATTTCTCAAACCCAGACAAAGCTGTGGTGAGTAGGAAATAAAATATGTGTCACAAAGTCTATATATACTTCACCCACTGGAAGTCTCCTTTGTGTTTCACAAGATTTCAATGAGCTTGTTTGTTATTGATGTGTCCAAGCTTATACAAATCTAAAGCAGCAGATTGGAAAGGTGATGGGGAAATGGTAAGAAGAAAATATATCTTCTTTGAAAACTGAAAAATAAGAACCTGACAGTAAGTAAAGTTTGAAAAATCATTAAATGTGTGTCTCAAGGATGCATTTATAGGGGCTCTTAAAATTCAGTATGTGATCTTTTAGGCTATAATGCCATGAAAAAAAAGTGAAGAGGTCAGTCTTTGGAGCTGGATTAAGGGGTTTGAATTTAGGCTCTGTGGCTTATGGGTCCTTGATAAATTCCCAGAGTCTTGTTTTCTTCATCTCTAAAATAGGAATAATAACACCTACTTTATTGGTTTAAGTGAGACCGTGTATATAGAATGTTTAGCATAGTACCAGGCTTTAGAAAATACTTGTGTAGACTGAGATCTCATTATTTTATGGCCTTGAATTATGTCTCATATACACTGAGAAATAAATTAAGAAATAGAAAATGTTACCTAGTAGTTTCTAGGTAGTAAGATTATGGCCATTTATTTTCCTCCTTAACTTCTAGAACAAGTTTGTAACTAATAATATTAAAAAAAAAAAACAACTTTGAGCCCTAGCCAGTTTGGCTCAGTTGGCCTGCAGACTGAAGGGTCCCGGGTTCGATTTTGGTCAAGGGCATGTACCTTGATACCTGGTGCCCACAGTGTGTGGGAGACAACCAATTGATGTGTCTCTCTCAAATCAATGTTCCTCTCTCTGTGTCTCTCCCCCCTCTCTTCAACTCTCTAAAAGTAATGGAAAAATATCCTTGGGTGGGGATTAACAAAAAACAACTTTGAAATTTGAAGTAAGAAGAAAAAAAAGATGAGAGAATTTAAATACATCCTATATAATAAAGAGGTGATATGCAAATTAACCCTCATGCCCCACAAGATGGCTGCCTATGACTAGGCTGGCAGGGGATTAGTGAGGGATGACCAAATGACTGAACAAGCAGGCTGCGTGAGGCGATCAGGCCAGCAGGGGGGTTAGTGATGGGACAACCAAATGACTAAACAGCAGGCTGTGTGGGGTGACCAGGGTGGCAGGGGGGCCATGAGGGACGGCCAGGCCAGCAAGTGGGGGCAGTTGGGGGCAACCAGGCAGGCAGGCAGGTGAGCGATTAGGAGCCAGTGGTCCAGGATTGTGAGAGGGATGTCTGCCGGTTTAGGCCTAATCCCCGGGATCGGGCCTAAACCGGCAGTCAGACATCCCCCCAAGGGGTCCCGGATTGGAGAGGGTGCAGGCTGGGCTGAGGGGACTCCCCCCCCCACACACACACACACATGAATTTTGTGCACCGGGCCTCTAGTTTTTAAGTAATATTTCATCCAAATTCTAATTCTTGGAATGATATACACATAGTTCTCCAGAAAACTCAACTATTCAAAAGTCGTCATCCCCAAAGGACTCAGGTGGTCAGGCTGAGGGTTTTACACAGAAACTTGTTCAGGAGTCCCTTTTTCTATCTTTTTCTCCCCACTAGTGAAAAAGGCATGGGAAGCTCAAGATATTATCTAAGCCAACTCTTTTTTCAGGTAATATTACATCTAACCAAAGGATTATCTGTGTTGTTTTTAATCTCTAAAGGCAACACATTTGTAGTTTTTACAGCCCTTATGGTCAGGAAGTTCTGCCAGCTGCTATATTAAAGTATTCCTGCTATAATTTATGTAACTTGCCTCTGTGCTTATTTTTAAACATATATATTTGATTAAGTCCTTCCTTAGTGTACCTTCCATAGTTTCCATAATGCTAGGTTATTCTCTCTTTACCTTTATGTCACAAAAAAGAGAAAATATTTTGGTAAAAAGGGTATCATAAGACACTTGCCTCTAGTTTAGATATATTCACTTTTTAAACCATTGTGACTGTTCAAACTTGAAAACCTATTTTTTAAAACAAAACAAGCAAGCCCAACTCTGTCATTAATGTGGTTAGTTCAGTGAGCTTTACAAACTTTGAAAATGATGTTTTAATTATAAAAGCAGAATTATCCCATTATTTCCCAGCTTTGCAAAATAGTATACTATGGAGTTGAAAAAACAATGATATACTTTATTTCAATAAAGTACATATTTGGTCACAGAATAGTTATGGCTCTTTGTTTTGTGGTTATATAACTCCACTGCTCTGCCCAGGAACTCAATTGACTTAATTATGCTTGATAGCTATGAGTCCATCATGGGGAAGTATAGGAAAGGTAGTT